GAAAGGCTTAGGGACTTGGGTCTCTTTAGTCTAGAGAAAAGAAGATTGAGGGGGGATCTTATTAATACTTACAAATACTTAAAGGGAGGATGCCAGGGGGATGGGAGCAGTCTTTTTTCAGTGGCGCCCAGTGATAGGACGAGGGGTAATGGGCACAAGCTTGACCATAGAAGTTCCATCTTAACATGAGGAGGAACTTCTTTACCTTGAGGGTAGTGGAGCACTGGAATAGGCTGCCCAGAGAGGCTGTGGAGTCTCCCACTCTGGAGACATTCAAAACCCGCCTGGACGCTGTCCTGTGCAACCTGTTGTAGGTGACCCTGCTCTGGCAGAGGGGTTGGACTAGATGATCTCCAGAGGTCCCTTCCAACCCTAACCATTCTGTGATTCTGTGATATAAAGTCCAAAAGGCGTATGTATTTGTATTCATACTGACTGTCTTAATTTTTAAAACAATCACTGAATGTAAAGCACATCTTGTACTAATATCAGAAACATCTGTATCCTTGCCTCATCAGCTTCCTTTGAAAAATCTCACTTTTGGTGGCTAGATACATCTTACAGTTTCATTTCAGGTTTTAGTGTACCTTCTAGTCATTAGTCCTGACTGATGCTGAAGCTTACCCTCCAACTTCTTATCTTTCCTGAATTCTCATGGTCTGGGAAAAAAAGTAATACATACTTCTTGCTTGCATTTGAACTTGATTTAAGAAAAAAGACACTTGGTTTGTTATTATTTTTAAAGTTCAGGTCCCATCTTAAATAAACATAATTATATAGATTATGATTTGATTTGTTTCTAGACATAAATATAGGCTATGCAAACCTGCTTGCAAAGCTTAAATCCCATGTCCCATAAAACTCTGAGTGACTGAAGAGCAGTTGAGAATCAGAGGCATGCCTGTAAATGTAATAGGTATTACACTGTTCTTGCTGTTCGCTTCACCCTGTGGACAGGTAATGTGTGTTCCTGTTCTCTAGGATAACAGCTAGTTACCATCTTGCTCCTTCGTACATTCCAGGTTGTATGAACAACTCTTCCCTTGCTGTTATAGCTTGCTGTGCTTGAACTCTTTCTGTAAGGAAAATTATGCAGGTTTTTGGAAAAGGGAGACAATAAATATAGTCAGTACCAAGAGTTTTCAGCTCACTGTCTTCCTATGAGAATATATCAGACAGGTGAATGATTAATAGCAGGGTCTTGTAGGTCTGAAATACACCCTTCTATTCCCTGATAATTTCTATTTGATTTTTTTTTTTCCTAAAAAGGTGCTATTCAAATACTGCAATAAGGAAATGAAGGATCTGACTTTCTAGTCTAATTTTTAAAGGTTTAAATCAGGTGCAGTTGTATTGGAATGAGTGAGTTTATATCCATTAGAGATATGAAAGGAGAATAAAGACTTAAATGTTTATTGGAGAAGCTTACTATTCATAAGTTATTCAGATGATAAGTAATTATTCAGCTGTGTCCAGTTAGTGATATAAAAGCATCATTTACATTTTTAGATGGGAAAGATTCACCAAATGTAACTGAGCCTACAGTATGGTAACTGCAGTTGTTAGTGAAGTCACGGAATGCAGTTAATATTTTCATTCAAGAGTGTGATTCTGTCTTATTTTCAGTTTCCTTTCTTGGTTTTTGAAATCAGATGGAAGAAAAAATGTTACTGAACATTTCAAAGTCAAAGTATTCAAAAATTTTGAATTACTTGGGGCAGAAGTTACAAAATATGTGATTGATTAACAAGACCTTGATAAAAATTAAGACATACTAGTCAGTGATATCATACAATTTTTATGGAGAATTTAATCAGACCTTTAATTTCTGGGTCATAATAGTTGAAGAATCTCATAGCACAACAGCTTGTCCATTGTTTGGAATTTATTTTGTGCTGGACAGCACTCTTGAAATACAGGTTTCAGCTAAGAGGAAGAAATTTACATTAATACAGTGGTGTACTGTGTAGCAGCTAACAAAAACAAATTACTTGAGGTAATTTGGCCAAGGCAGTTTGCATGAGCTTCTACTAGTAATGGCATACCATTACAACTGTTTGGTGTAATGACTGTTGTGAAGGGGTGTGTGAGGGACACCTTGTTGTGTAGTAGTGGAGGTGGACTTCACTAGATCAGAGAATATATTTTTCCATGAGCCATTTCACTTCATTTGGGCTCACGGAGAATTCATGTATGATTATCAGAAGTTTCTAGATAGAGATATTCCATGACGCTACTGTATATAGGACTGCACAGAATCCTGCCGTTTGTCCCACAAGACTGTAATATTCACAAGTGATCATACTAAAAGCAAATGTGAACTGAAAGCTATCTGGAAATAAAAAGAGAGAGAAAAAAGTATTTTCTTTCTCTGTCAATCATTGTTAAGGAAAAGGAAATTCATACACTTTGCAAAATCAGATAGGCTCCATATTAAAAATAAAAAAGTGACTGCTGTTATTTACCATTTCAATCATAGGGTATTTTACTGAATAAATAAGCTTTATTAGTTCCCCTGTTCTGATAAAGAGCAAGTAGTAATTTCCTTCTTTCTTTCTTTCTCTGTATTTGCCACAAAGGTTAAAAAATAGTTCTAACTGTGATGTCTGCCACAAGAAAAAAAAAAGCAGTTTATCACAAAAATAATTTAGTGACCCCTTCCAGCAGTCTCTCCTCTAGAAAGCTGAAGGAGGTATTATTCTATTTGTGTGGACTCTTCCTCTCTTTCATATGCTCTATTGGTTTACATAATAGTTATAATGTTGAGAAAAATACGGCCTGCAAAAGGCCTTCACACCCTTTTCTTTGTTCCATAAAGGCTTGTAATAATCAATGAAGAGAAGTCAGAACTAGTCAGAGAGATTTTATTTACGCAGCAGAAAGTGTGGGAAAAAGCTTCAGAAATTCCTAGTAATAATACTTACAGATGGACTAGACATTTAAAAGGCAGGCTATTTGGAAAATGTCTGTAAAAATTAGCTATAATTCTTATGCAGTTAGAAGCAGTGTCACGACTTACGACAGACATGATGAAGAAAGACCTTATTAAATGCAGAATTTTCTTCAAGCCATGCCATTTCTACCTCTTTATTCCTAATTCATTATGGAATGGTAGTCAGAACTTCTGACAATAAGAATCTGATTTGCTGGGTGCCTGAGAACTGAAGATAAGTAATAAAATCCATTGAAGTGTTTAAATACAGGAACCAGAGCTCACAGTGCAGCAGTTACATTCACGTGGGAAGGCTTTGAATGCAGATGGAACTAATTAGTCTTCATGGAAGACTATGTTATCATGTCACCGCTACTCCCAAGACTATTCTAGTCTCTTGACCTGTCAGGCATTAGTACACAACAAACAACAAATTTCTAAATAGTAATGGATATGCTTCATTATCAAATAAGTCATTGTAATAGAAGCAGACTATTTTGAATCAGACATATTAATGAAAATATAAATGAAATCCACATGTATATAAATGAATATGAATGAATAAATAAAAATCAATATAGAAATTAAATAGAAACAGCAAATGAGAGCAATTGATATTGGGATTTCGAAGAGGTACACCATATAAGCCCTCAATTAGGGCTAATTTGATGCTCTAGCGTGAATGTTGTCACCACACTTACAGTCCGAACTTCTCTGAAAGACAAATCGTCAGTTTGGACCAATAGGTCCCAATTAAGGATTTAGTGTATCTGGTGTGCAGATTAAGAGCTTCCAATTTAGTCTTCAAAAGAAATCCAGTTCAGTGGACAAAGACCATGCTGGAAACTTAATCATATGTGATAATCCGGGGCAATCAAGAAATTATATTCCAAACTGTGCTCCTGCTCCAAGCTGAAACAGCCCATGCTGGAGGTGATTTCTATATGGAAAGTGGAATGATAGGGTTCTGTCATATGTAGTAATGTTTGTTGATGACAAGGTTGGTCTGTCTTCCCTTCTACCACATTTTAACTATCAATGGCAAAAGTTCTGTTAGACACATCTAGAAATTTGTAATTACTCCATTATTATTATCACTACTACTACTATTATTATCATTAATTATTTTTGCATTTGCAGGAATGGCAGAAATGTGCCTTGGATTAAATTAATGAATGCTTTTGACAATACTCTTTTTTTGCAAGCAAGGATTTGTAAGTGAGACAGAACCATTCATAAGATGTCTGTTTGAAGTTTTACTTCTTGACTTGTGTTCCTAAGTCCTGTGCCTCTGAATGTTCTCTGTATTAGAAATAATGGTAAGGGAAGAGGACAACAAACAGTAAATGGCTTTACTGTCGTAGTGCCTTATACCATATGAGTCAATAGTGCAGGAGGCAGACATTATTTCTTCTGTAAGACAGTAATTTGTGGAACTAAGAATGAGGGAAAAGAAAATTTATCCCTATTCCTGCTAAAACTAGCCTCGAGAATTGTACATGCAATTCTGTTTGTATTTATCATCTTTAAATAACATTGTGCTACAGTTCCAGGCAAACCTCGGCTTGTGATTAGCCACACACAGATGAACACGGCTCTAATTCAGTGGCACCCTCCTGTGGACACTTTTGGCCCGCTGCAGGGTTATCGCCTGAAGTTTGGTCGCAAAGACGTGGATACATTTACGACCATGGAGTTCTCAGAGAAGGAAGATCACTTCACAGCCACAGACATTCACAAAGGAGCTTCTTACGTCTTCAGGCTCTCAGCTAGAAATAAAGTGGGCTTTGGGGAGGAGATGGTTAAAGAGATTTCTGTTCCTGAAGAGGTACCCAGTGGATTTCCCCAAAATCTCCACTCGGAAAGCTCTACTTCTACATCAGTTCAATTAACTTGGCAGATGCCACTCTTGGCAGAGAGAAATGGCATTATCACCAAATATACCATCTTGTACAGAGATATCAATGTTGCTTACCAGCCAGTTGAACTCCCTGTTGTT